AAATATGTAATACATTTTGGAAATATAATATATATACAAAAATATTGAGCTATAAGATGAAATGTTAAATATAGGCGTTGAGTCTCTAAGTCACTGTGTATGATAGATAATATTTTATGTAAAAAGAAACAGTATAGGTACGATTGGTAAATTGGGTATTGCGGTTGTGTTGCTTATCGGATCCTTTTGAATGATTTAAGTGAAGGAATCCATCCCTGTGTTACACTAATTGCATGATCATATCTGAAATTAAATAATTGTATGTATTTATTAATGAAAAAGGTAGATATGTAATGAATATCGTAAATATAATTATACCCGTAAAAATAGTGCAGAGCCATCATGCTGATTACCCTTTTTGCATGTTTTTTTGTTGGTCCTGYAAAACATAATTTAATACCAATAATAAGTGATTATTGTATAAAACAATTTATCTCAGTTTACTGCAGTAGATGAAATATTTAAAGGGATGAAAAACTCTATTTAAAAATATCAGTTGTTAATAGAAGTATGTTACAATATAAAAAAAAAATACCTTGTGCACGAAAAGGTTTTCCATGTATTATAGTTTCAACTCTAACAGTTACAGGTGTCTTGCGCGTAATTTCATGTTCATATTTAATCCCCGGTATAAGTTGATGGAGCAGTTCAACCGGGTTCATAGATTTTGTTTGTAACTCTATATTTATCATCGGGCAATGAGGCTGAAATTGATGCGTGTTAGTTAAAAATTTTAATATTTTTATARTAAAATAATATATGAAGGAAGTTCTAAATTTAAATTATGTATTTTATTCTTGATTTACACCACATATAGTTAGGTAAATAATGAGAAATCTCAAATAAGGGTCGAGAGWAATTTAAATAATGTGTTACCTGCGGTGGTAATATTTCATTGTATAGTAAATTCAGAGTTGCAGGCATTTCAGCACTCGAACATTGCGCGATCTGAAAAAATTACATAATTACAATTCTTAATGAAATGCGCAATAAATTTGAACATTTACAAGAGTAAATACATAGGAAATTAATAAGTATTGCTCAAAAACATTTAAAAAACATTAATCAATTATTATATGCTCATCTTACTGTATAGGATAGTTGATTTTCATCGTCTAGATTTGATTGGACGGCCAATGTACTAGGTCCATAACATAATCGATCTTBATTGCTCTAAAATTTTAAGTAACAATATATTTTATAAAAACTGATTGCGTGTATAAATGTATGTAACTTAAACTTTTAAGTTTTAACTATCTATAATTATTATTAAATGACRTAATATTTGATTAAGGATCTTAAAATGTTTAACTTTTATAAAAAAAATCTAACCCAAATACCACTCGTGAACATATTTGACATAATTATTATTATAATTTGTTTACCTTCAAATCTGCTCTTGTTTTCTTATACAAATATTTTCCACTCATCCACATTAATCCAATTCCCGCGACGGCACCCACTGTTATCAAGGATTTCATCATCATCTTGAAATACAACAAATGTTTCCAATCGGCAACAATAAATAGTACTTATACAATATTATGTGAATAACAATATACAAGAAAAATACGTAACGGTTTRTCTACGAAAGCGTCAAATTGTCAAATGAATATAATATCTGTRACGAATAAACACTATAGTTTTGGTTACCTAGTGATGAATTTATAAATATTATGTGGCTTATATTTTCATTTAAGCCAGATATGATATACAAAAAATATCAAAGACTATTGAAAACTACTCGGCCGATTTTTATAAGATTACCTATATGTTAAATATACTTAATGTGRTAGCTTTTTTCGWCTTAAAAAGGATATTATATTGATCACTCGTTTGGTGGCCTCAATTTTTTTTTTTATTGAACACCTAATAATAATGGMTTTTGAYCCACTGAGGTAGAGATTGATGTTTATTAATTTAAAGTTAAGGTATACCGCGCTTAAAATGATGGACATTTTTAAAACTTTCTAGTTTCATAACTAATTATTATTCCAATGGATAAATATGGACCAAGGAATAATTAATAATCTTAAAGTGTATTATCGAAAACGTATCTGGACAATGTACCTGGTATTATAGTATTTCTTTTGAATTATATTTTTTATTGTTAAAAGTTAAATTAAACTGTATTATAATTTYAGATTCTGTACGGAGCTAGCGATGAATATTATTGATTTTACCATGATGTGTGTGTGTGTTTMTTTTTTTGTGTCTGTCATCGCGTTTTGGGGCAGTAAAAGTGCTTCGATTTTTGACTTTAATCGGGATAAACAAACTAAAACTTAAGGGAAAAACGGAAAATTTTACGCACAATCAGTTTTCGACAAAATCGATTTTGGTTTTTAATGTAACTTTAAAACAAATCGCCATAGATACATGAAATTTTCACCAAAWTTTTATATAAGTATATTCTATCCACCATGCAATTTTCAAACATTTTCGACTTCAGTTGAACTATTCATAGATACTTGCAATTTTCGATCAATTATTAGTTTTTTTTTTTAAATTAATATCGATAAAAATGTATTTGTTGGGTAGAAAAGCTTGAAAATTTTATACAATACTCTTAACATATTGTTACAATAGCAGTTGAAAAATAAAATAAATTCATAATCACAACTTTTTTTTATAA